GCCACTGTGTACTCTCTGTTTAGGGCCAAATAGCATTCTAGTTTGCTCTGTTTTTTGGTTAATTCTTTCCAATGTGTCAAGGAATTCTCTTTTTGTTTTCTCATGATTTGGTTGGGTCTAATTGTGTTGTCCTGGTGCTCTGTGGGGTCTGTTTGTGTTTGTGAACAGAGCCCCAGGACCAGCTTGCATAGGGGACTCTTCTCCAAGTTCATCTCTCTGTAGGTGATGGCTTTGTTATGGAAGGTTTGGGAATCGCTTCCTTTTAAGTGGTTATAGAATTTAACGGCTCTTTTCTGGATTTTGATAATTAGCGGGTATCGGCCTAATTCTGCTTTGCATGCATTATTTTGTGTTTTTCGTTGTACACCCCAGACCTCACAACCATAAAGGGCAATGGGTTCTATAACTGATTCAAGTATTTCTAGCCAGATCCTAATTGATATGTCGAATTTTATGTTCCTTTTGATGGCATAGAAGGCCCTTCTTGCCTTGTCTCTCAGATAGTGGTCCTCTGTAGCTCAGCTGGTAGAGCACGGTGCTTGTAACGCCAAGGTAGTGGGTTCGATCCCCGGGACCACCCATACACAAAAAAATAATAATGCACGCATGACTGTAAGTCGCTTTGGATAAAAGCATCTGCTAAATGGCATATTATATTTTTTATTTAGTTCACATCTTTGTGGAAGTTACCTGTGGCTCTGATGTTTAGGCAGAGGTAGGTATAGCATTCAGTGGTCCCTGACGAACTGACTTGTTGGAAAGGTGGCATCCTATGACGGTGCCACGTTGAAAGTCACTGAGCTCTTCAGTAAGGCCATTCTACTGCCAATGTTTGTCTATGGAGATTGCATGGCTGTGTGCTCAATTTTATACACCTGCCAGCAACGGGTGTAGCTGAAATAGCTGAATCCATTAATTTGAAGGGGTGTCCACATACTTTTGTATATATTGTGTTTTTACCTGTCAAAGTGAACGAAAAATAAGTAACCAGATTATGGGTTAGGGTTAGGTCTGTATATCCTCTAGGGTTAGGGTTAGGTCTGTATATCCTCCAGGGTTAGGGTTAGGTCTGTATATCCTCCAGGGTTAGGGCTAAGTCTGTATATCCTCTAGGGTCAGGGTTAGGTCTGTATATCCTCTAGGGTTAGGGTTAGGTCTGTATATCCTCCAGGGTTAGGGTTAGGTCTGTATATCCTCTAGGGTTAGGGTTAGGTCTGTATATCCTCCAGGGTTAGGGTTAGGTCTGTATATCCTCCAGGGTTAGGGTTAGGTCTGTATATCCTCCAGGGTCAGGGTTAGGTCTGTATATCCTCTAGGGTTAGGGTTAGGTCTGTATATCCTCCAGTGTTAGGGTTAGGTCTGTATATCCTCCAGGGTTAGGGTTATGTCTGTATATCCTCTAGGGTTAGGGTTAGGTCTGTATATCCTCCAGGGTTAGGGTTAGGTCTGTATATCCTCCAGGGTTAGGGTTAGGTCTGTATATCCTCCAGGGTTAGGGTTAGGTCTGTATATCATCCAGGGTTAGGGTTAGGTCTGTATATCCTCCAGGGTTAGGGTTAGGTCTGTATATCCTCCAGGGTCAGGGTTAGGTCTGTATATCCTCCAGGATTAGGGTTAGGTCTGTATATCCTCCAGGGTTAGGGCTAAGTCTGTATATCCTCCAGGGTCAGGGTTAGGTCTGTATATCCTCCAGGGTCAGGGTTAGGTCTGTATATCCTCCAGGGTCAGGGTTAGGTCTGTATATCCTCCAGGGTTAGGGTTAGGTCTGTATATCCTCCAGGGTTAGGGTTAGGTCTGTATATCCTCCAGGGTCAGGGTTAGGTCTGTATATCCTCCAGGGTTAGGGTTAGGTCTGTATATCCTCCAGGGTCAGGGTTAGGTCTGTATATCCTCCAGGATTAGGGTTAGGTCTGTATATCCTCCAGGGTTAGGGCTAAGTCTGTATATCCTCCAGGGTTAGGGTTAGGTCTGTATATCCTCCAGGGTTAGGGCTAAGTCTGTATATCCTCCAGGGTCAGGGTTAGGTCTGTATATCCTCCAGGGTCAGGGTTAGGTCTGTATATCCTCCAGGGTTAGGGTTAGGTCTGTATATCCTCCAGGGTTAGGGCTAAGTCTGTATACCCTCCAGGGTCAGGGTTAGGTCTGTATATCCTCCAGGGTCAGGGTTAGGTCTGTATATCCTCCAGGATTAGGGTTAGGTCTGTATATCCTCCAGGGTTAGGGCTAAGTCTGTATATCCTCCAGGGTTAGGGTTAGGTCTGTATACCCTCCCGGGTTAGGGCTAAGTCTGTATATCCTCCAGGGTCAGGGTTAGGTCTGTATATCCTCCAGGGTCAGGGTTAGGTCTGTATATCCTCCAGGGTTAGGGTTAGGTCTGTATATCCTCCAGGGTTAGGGCTAAGTCTGTATACCCTCCAGGGTCAGGGTTAGGTCTGTATATCCTCCAGGGTTAGGGTTAGGTCTGTATATCCTCCAGGGTCAGGGTTAGGTCTGTATATCCTCCAGGGTTAGGGTTAGGTCTGTATATCCTCCAGGGTTAGGGTTAGGTCTGTATATCCTCCAGGGTTAGGGCTAAGTCTGTATATCCTCCAGGGTTAGGGTTAGGTCTGTATATCCTCCAGGGTTAGGGTTAGGTCTGTATATCCTCCAGGGTCAGGGTTAGGTCTGTATATCCTCCAGGCTGGGCTCTGTGGTGCCCAGGCAAGCAAAGCTCCACTATTGATGAAATCAAATCAATGTGTATTTGTCACATTCTTTGTAACCAACAGGTGTAGACTAAAAGTGAAATGCTTACTTTGGGCCCTTCCCAACAATGCATAATACTAATAATAATCAGCAAGCAAGAGCAAGGGGCATCGCTCCTCCAATAGGCTGCTAGTAGGCTAAAGAAAATAAGTCAAAATAAGTTTCCAACAAGCTTTTGTAGTCTGGCTTTTCCTGGGACTTTTCCTGGGCATAATTGTGCAACAGGACAATTAAGACAGGCTTGAGATGCAGCCTATATCCTAAGTTAGAAGCATATGCATATTAGCCCATAATTCATAAGCTCAATGTTAGGCTTACTACTTTAGTGAATATATCCAGTCAATTTACACAGCGAAATCAAAAAAAAGTTTATCAGATAACTAAATCATAGGCTCTCCCAAGACTGCGCTGAGTGCCCTCCCTCCCAGTCCCTGTGTATGCAGCTCCAAAAGCTACTCTATTGTTTCAGTTTTTCAGGGACAAGAAATGTATCCTACCTAGGCTACAACAACACAATGTAATGAAGAATGTTATTATTGTTTTCAAGTGATTACAAATCTCTATTCTAGGTTGTAAACTGCAGTGAATAGCCTATGTCATTTGAATAACCACTCAAAAGCCTGGCATTTTGAATGAATATTCATAATTTCAAAATAAGTGCATCTAGCCTGCCTGATTGGGCACCCATTTGGATCAGTTATGTTTGTTTTTTCTCAGCGGGTTAGCCTACAAGGTCCAGGCACATTAACAGGACATTAATATTGTGTAGTTTGTCATGATGTATCAGCTAACAGAAACATGTTAATACAGGGATTTCTAGTGGGGCACATATGAATTATGAGGAAGTTGTTTCCATACTTTCCGCGTTTGGCTTCCGAGTTTTAAAAGAGTTTGACAATGAGGTGTATTTGTAACTGGCTACTTCCAAGCTCCCAACTGTGTTCATATTAATAACTACACTGTCAGCGCTCTTGCACCCCTCTGACAGGAAAAATGTCAGGAATTACACGTCAGTTGCACCCTGTCGGCTCTCTAGCGCCAGACAGTGACTATAAACAGTCAATAGACAGTACCTGTCAGCTCTCTAGCGCCCCTCTGACAGGAAAATGTCAGGAGGAATTGCACGTCAGCCCACTAGACAGTGACTATAGACAGTCAATAGACAGCAGGAACGGAATGATCTCAGCTAGACTGTACAGAGGGTTACCACAGTCCCGACTCAGAGGGTTAGAGGCTTCAGGTTTAGGGTTACTTGTCTGAAACAGGTTGACAGTAAAACACATTGACAAAAACAGGTTCTTAGTTGTACTCTGTGGCACAGTTGGTAGAGTATGGCGCTTTCAATGCCAGGATCATGGATTTGATAACTGCTACGGCCATCCATATGAAAAATGTATGCATTCGTGACTGTAATTTGCATTTAATAAAAGTGTCAGATAAATGGCATTTATTATTACACACAAACTATGACTTTATGGCAGCATGCTTTCTTATCTGATTTCCTTGTCTGTCTGTCTGTGAGGGTTACGAGCTGACGAGAGGAAACATTATGGTCATTTTCTTATTTACTGCTAAAGCAAAGACATCCTCTGGCTGGGCTGGCTAAAGTTATTGGACAGGTCCGTACGGGTGTTGCAGCGATGGGACAAGACTGTAACTATCAATTGGATATTATGAAATTGGGGAGAAAAAGGGGTACAAAGTAGGCATTGGACAGGAGCCGGCATTTATCAGGACGATCATTCTACACTTGATTGTCTGACCTTATCGACTGCTCTGGCATTGCGTCATCCTCCCGGAAGTGGCGTCGCACAGTGGTGAAGGTTTCAGTAAACAATCGGTTAGCAACAATATCGAATCATGAGCTTCTCTCTAACCTTTTAGAGATTGGCTGTGTTATATTCCCCCCACCCCAACGTGTCTGTTCTTTCTCTCATCATGATTCCCGTGCCGCTCGTCGTGTGTGTTTTGGGCGGCTGGTGCTTCGTCTATCTAACAGACGTGCTGCTGAAGGTAGTGTTGTGGTCCCGTGTTAATATTCATTAGATCCGGTCCATCGACCAAGTTATCTGCACGACGGACCAGATCTAACGAGTAATGTATTGTTATGTAATTAACCTGCTGTTATATTTTACGTATACGAGGTAGTTAGCTAGCTAACGTTAGCTAACTAGTTCACTTTTACGATATGTTTGTTTCCATATGACACAGCAGAATGTGTTACCTGTAATAGCTAGCTAACTAGCTATGTACACATGGTGATCGATGTACATTGCAACAGAACAATGCATGTACTAGGATTTATATACATTCTGCTCTGTCCAGGCCTGACAAAGAAGTGTCTAGACCAGGGATGGTCAACTCCAGGCCGGAGCGGTGTTACACTTAACCCCATCCCTAACAAACACAGCTGATTTAAACTAATTTTATTCTAAACTGAAGATCATGAGTTGATTATTAGCTGGGGTAAAAGTGTGACACCAATTAGGCCTCCGAGGACTGGAGTTTCCCATCCTGGTCTAGACTATATGGGGTAAGGATAGGGGCTAGCTAGTACTCAGAACGGGTGTAGGGACACTGCTAAATCGGGGCTAGTGGCACCTGCTGGTCAAAATAATTTAGAACAGCCAAATGATTATAAATGGCGTCGCACAGTGTAGCCTTTTGTCTTCTACCAAACCAATCAGGTGGTTGTTCGACAAAACGAAGCGTCGGACGTCATTGATAAACCATCAGCCCTGTTTCTGCTTAGCCGTTTCGATGCAGCCTCGGAGCTCCGGCACCATTTCCTTAGTGTCCCATAATGTACCTGCATTCCATACAGAACCAGGCTAATAATGACTAGACATCTTTTAAATTAGCATGCCCTTGTGTTCTTACATTGGTTTGGATAGATTTACTGTAACTGTTAAAAAAGTGCAAAAAGTGACCTAAAATAAAGTACAACATTTATTTATTGCAGATTTCAGTGCCATTTGTAATTTTCTGCTAAATCTTCTAGAGGGCAGAATTAGAAAAAACTATACTTGATACCACAGCAAAAAAGGACTGTGATTTCCCCAATTTTTTTTCTTCTCAAAATCACTTATTTATTTTTACCCCCTTTTCTCCCCAATTTCGTGATATCCAATTGATAGTTACAGTCTTGTCCCATCGCTTGTCTTGCCACAAGGAGTCGCTAGAGCGCAATGGGACAAGGAAATCCTGGCTCCCGAGTGGCGCAGCGGTCTAAGGCACTGCATCTCAGTGCTTGAGGCTTCACTACAGACCCCCTGGTTTGATTCCAGGCTGTTTCACAACCGGCCGTGATTGGGAGTCCCATAGGGCGGCGCACAATTGGCCCAGCGTCGTCCGGGTTTGGCCGGTGTAGGCTGTCATTGTAAATAAGAATTTGTTCTTAACTGACTTGCCTAGTTAAATAAAGGTAAAATAAAATAACCTGGACGGCGCTGCGCCAATTGTGCACAGCCTGGGATCGATCCCGGGTCTGTAGTGACGCCTCAACCACTGCGATGCAGTGCCTTAGACCGCTGCACCACTCAGGAGGCCAAAATCACACTTTGTTTTAATTGAACATCCAATGTTGTCGTTTTTCTAAGTCCACAACAATGCTTAAACCACATCGGGGACCATTTTTGAGGTCTGGGAAAAATCAGAGAAATGGAGAATGGTGTAGTTACGCTTTAATTCAGGTGTGCACCAGCCAGACTAGGTTTGGCAGGCGGTGTTTCTGGAGCCACAGGCGGTGTTTCTGGAGCCATAGGCGGTGTTTCTGGAGCCATAGGCGGTGCTTCTGGAGCCATAGGCGGTGTTTCTGGAGCCATAGGCGGTGTTTCTGGAGCCATAGGCGGTGTTTCTGGAGCCATAGGCGGTGTTTCTGGAGCCATAGGCGGTGCTTCTGGAGCCATAGGCGGTGTTTCTGGAGCCATAGGCGGTGCTTCTGGAGCCATAGGTGGTGTTTCTGGAGCCATAGGCGGTGTTTCTGGAGCCATAGGCGGTGTTTCTGGAGCCATAGGCGGTGCTTCTGGAGCCATAGGCGGTGTTTCTGGAGCCATAGGCGGTTGTTTCTGGAGCCATAGGCGGTGTTTCTGGAGCCATAGGCGGTGCTTCTGGAGCCATAGGCGGTGTTTTCTGGAGCCATAGGCGGTGTTTCTGGAGCCATAGGCGGTGTTTTCTGGAGCCATAGGCGGTGCTTCTGGAGCCATAGGCGGTGCTTCTGGAGCCATAGGCGGTGTTTCTGGAGCCATAGGCGGTGTTTCTGGAGCCATAGGCGGTGTTTCTGGAGCCATAGGCGGTGCTTCTGGAGCCATAGGCGGTGCTTCTGGAGCCATAGGCGGTGTTTCTGGAGCCATAGGCGGTGTTTCTGGAGCCATAGGCGGTGCGTGAGTTTCAAGTTTGGGGAAGGCCATTTTCACCATTAAAATTCATCTTTAGAATAAAGAATTCCATGAATCATCACATTTTCAGACTTACTATTCCTAATGTGATGAGCAGATTGGATAGAAATTTAGGGTAAAAATATAACTCAATCACTTTTCGCAAAAAAGACTGTTCAATGCATGGCTGATCGCGTAGAGTAGGCCTAGGGCTATATCATATACGTTTATTGGCTTTTATAAACACATTCAGGCAATTCCACTACACTTTATGACTGGAGACATTAACAGAATCTTTTTTAATACGACACAAATTACAGGGTATCCTACTCTGCTGACACTGACAAACAGATCAATAAAAATGACGTCTGATCCATATAAGGAGAAGGGGTGGGGAGACCCAAATAGTCTACAATATGACATCCATCAAATTATTGTCCAAAAACAAATGTTCAAGTGGCACTGACCCAACAATGATAAAGAGTGAATATGGGCACTCACTGGGGATAAGGCTGATGCTCTCCCCTGGTGCCATAAGATAGGCTATATTGTTCAATCAATTAAGTTGAGAATTTTGACACAGTGACATACACACAGACACAGATACACACAGATGGGCATTCCTGTGCTGTTATTAGCTCTTCAGGTCAGTTGCACATTACTGTTAGAATAAATCATGATGGAGAAACTAACTTGACCAGGTAGGCCATAGTTTTCACTGGCACCCTTGTGACCAATAGAAAATGTGTTGCACTGCCAAGTCCAATGGTTTGGTCACAGTATGGAATACTGAACAGGTACTTGTTCTGCTCTAGGACGCCCACAGGCCTCAAGACTTGACTATCTGTAGTGAATCTGTTATTCAATGTGTTTGTATGGGCTAATAGCAGTAAGGACTATCTGTTGTTCCATGTAGTGAATCTGTTATTCAATGTGTTTGTATGGGCTAATAGCAGTAAGGACTATCTGTTGTTCCATGTAGTGAATCTGTTATTCAATGTGTTTGTATGGGCTAATAGCAGTAAGGACTATCTGTTGTTCCATGTAGTGAATCTGTTATTCAATGTGTTTGTATGGGCTAATAGCAGTAAGGACTATCTGTTGTTCCATGTAGTGAATCTGTTATTCAATGTGTTTGTATGGGCTAATAGCAGTAAGGACTATCTGTTGTTCCATGTAGTGAATCTGTTATTCAATGTGTTTGTATGGGCTAATAGCAGTAAGGACTATCTGTTGTTCCATGTAGTGAATCTGTTATTCAATGTGTTTGTATGGGCTAATAGCAGTAAGGACTATCTGTTGTTCCATGTAGTGAATCTGTTATTCAATGTGTTTGTATGGGCTAATAGCAGTAAGGACTATCTGTTGTTCCATGTAGTGAATCTGTTATTCAATGTGTTTGTATGGGCTAATAGCAGTAAGGACTATCTGTTGTTCCATGTAGTGAATCTGTTATTCAATGTGTTTGTATGGGCTAATAGCAGTAAGGACTATCTGTTGTTCCATGTAGTGAATCTGTTATTCAATGTGTTTGTATGGGCTAATAGCAGTAAGGACTATCTGTTGTTCCATGTAGTGAATCTGTTATTCAATGTGTTTGTATGGGCTAATAGCAGTAAGGACTATCTGTTGTTCCATGTAGTGAATCTGTTATTCAATGTGTTTGTATGGGCTAATAGCAGTAAGGACTATCTGTTGTTCCATGTAGTGAATCTGTTATTCAATGTGTTTGTATGGGCTAATAGCAGTAAGGACTATCTGTTGTTCCATGTAGTGAATCTGTTATTCAATGTGTTTGTATGGGCTAATAGCAGTAAGGACTATCTGTTGTTCCATGTAGTGAATCTGTTATTCAATGTGTTTGTATGGGCTAATAGCAGTAAGGACTATCTGTTGTTCCAAGTAGTGAATCTGTTATTCAATGCGTTTGTATGGTCTAATAGCAGTAAGGCCCCCCAAAAATGTATCCATCAAATCATTTTTGGTATATTTATTTGATACTTCAAGGGGTCTTGAAATTCGAAATCAAATAGCAAAATGATCCTTGGTATGACATTGTTAAAACAATTCCATGAAGCTTAGTGGCCCCGTGTAGCTCAGTTGGTAGAGCATGGCGCTTGCAACGCCAAGGTTGTGGGTTCGTTTCCCACGGGGGGCCAGGGGGGCCAGTATGAAAATGTATGCACTCACTAACTGTAAGTCGCTCTGGATAAGAGCGTCTGCTAAATGACTAAAATGTAAATGTACTGGGCTAGGACCATCAGATTATCCAGGGTAGGTTTTCTTAAACCTCTCCTCAAGGTCTCCCAGCCATTCCAGAGCTACCTGATTCAACTGGTCAACTAGCCTCATTATCAACTGGTCAACTAGCCTCATTATCAACTGGTCAACTAGCCTCATTATCAACTGGTCAACTAGCCTCATTATCAACTGGTCAACTAGCCTCATTATCAACTGGTCAACTAGCCTCATTATCAACTGGTCAACTAGCCTCATTATCAACTGGTCAACTAGCCTCATTATCAACTGGTCAACTAGCCTCATTATCAACTGGTCAACTAGCCTCATTATCAAGTGCTTGACTTCTTGAAAGATTACTCAGGGGAGCTAGTTCAGGGCTAAAATGTCTGGGGATCCCCAATGAGAGGGTTGGGAACCACTGATCTAGGTTATAGGGCAGTGGTGGGAAAAGTACCCAATTGTCATACTTGAGTAAAAGTAAAGATACCTTAATAGAAAATGACTCAAGTAAAAGTGAAAGTCACCCAGTAAAATACTACTTGAGTAAAAGTCTAAAAGTATTTGGTTTTAAATATACTTAAGAATCAAAAGTAGATGTAATTGCTAAAATATACTTCACTATCAAAAGTAAAAGTATAAATCATTTCAAATTCCTTATTAAGCAAACCAGGCGGCACAATTTTCGTGTTATTTAAATGTATGGATAGTCAGGGGCACACTGCAACACTCAGACATCATTTACAAACTAAGCATTGGGATGATCATGGATGTTATCTTGATAAGTGTGTGAATTGGACCATTTTCCTGTCCTGCTAAGCATTCAAAGTGTAACAAGTTATTTTGGATGTCAGCTGTGGGGGCCAGGACTATTAGTGTATAGGGGCTAGGACTATCAGTGTATAGGGGCTAGGACTATCAGTGTATAGGGGCTAGGACTATCAGTGTATAGGGGCTAGGACTATCAGTGTATAGGGGCCAGGACTATCAGTGTATAGGGGCTAGGACTATCAGTGTATAGGGGCTAGGACTATCAGTGTATAGGGGCTAGGACTATCAGTGTATAGGGGCTAGGACTATCAGTGTATAGGGGCTAGGACTATCAGTGTATAGGGGCTAGGACTATCAGTGTATAGGGGCTAGGACTATCAGTGTAGAGGGGCTAGGACTATCAGTGTGTAGGGGCTAGGACTATCAGTGTATAGGGGCTAGGACTATCAGTGTATAGGGGCTAGGACTATCAGTGTATAGGGGCTAGGACTATCAGTGTGTAGGGGCTAGGACTATCAGTGTATAGGGGCTAGGACTATCAGTGTATAGGGGCTAGGACTATCAGTGTATAGGGGCTAGGACTATCAGTGTATAGGGGCTAGGACTATCAGTGTATAGGGGCTAGGACTATCAGTGTATAGGGGCTAGGACTATCAGTGTATAGGGGCTAGGACTATCAGTGTATAGGGGCTAGGACTATCAGTGTATAGGGGCTGGGACTATCAGTGTGTAGGGGCTGGGACTATCAGTGTGTAGGGGCTAGGACTATCAGTGTATAGGGGCCAGGACTATCAGTGTATAGGGGCTAGGACTATCAGTGTATAGGGGCTAGGACTATCAGTGTATAGGGGCTGGGACTATCAGTGTATAGGGGCTAGGACTATCAGTGTATAGGGGCTAGGACTATCAGTGTATAGGGGCTAGGACTATCAGTGTGTAGGGGCTAGGAGTATCAGTGTATAGGGGCTAGGACTATCAGTGTATAGGGGCTAGGACTATCAGTGTATAGGGGCTAGGACTATCAGTGTATAGGGGCTAGGACTATCAGTGTATAGGGGCTAGGACTATCAGTGTATAGGGGCTAGGACTATCAGTGTATAGGGGCTAGGACTATCAGTGTATAGGGGCCAGGACTATCAGTGTGTAGGGGCCAGGACTATCAGTGTATAGGGGCTAGGAGTATCAGTGTATAGGGGCATTTTTTTCACAATATATATCTCGATTTAAAACGTATATTTACTGGCAGGTAGCTTAGTGGTTAAGAGCGTTGTGCCAGTAACCGAAATGTTGCTGGTTCTAATCCCCGAGCCGACTAGGTGAAAAATCTGTCCATGTGCCCTTGAGCAAGGCACTTAACCCTAATTGCTCCTGTAAGTCGCTCTGGATAAGAGCGTCTGCTAAATGACTAAAAATGTAGATGTAAAATGTATACAGTGAGGGGAAAAAAGTATTTGATCCCCTGCTGATTTTGGACGTTTGCCCACTGACAAAGACATGATGAGTCTATCATTTTAATGGTAGGTTTATTTAACAGTGAGAGACAGAATAACAACTACAAAAATCCAGAAAAACACATGTCAAAAATGTTATAAATTGATTTGCATTTTAATGAGGGTGTCATGGTTTCGGCCGAGGCTGCCTCTCTTCCTTGCTCGGGCAGGCTTCGGCGTTCGTTGTCTCCGGAATACTAGCTGCCACCGTTGCATGTTTCTATGTTCGTTTGCTTTTGTCTAATTGTTGTCACACCTGTTTTCGTTTAGTGTATTAGTGTCCTTTAAGTTCTCCTTGGGTTTGTGTTAGTGTTGTGTGTGATTGTTTTCACTGTCGTGCTTTGTTGCTGGATGTATTGACTATTTGCTCGGTAGAGCTGTCCTCCATTGTTTGGAGAGTTTTGTCGCACCTGTTTGTGCGCCCGTTTTGTTTCGCCTGCGCGCGGAGTTTCGTCTTCGGACTATTTAGTGCTTGCACGGTTAGAGATATCACTAAAGTCTTTGGAACTATACTTCTGCGTCCTGCGCCTGATTCCACCACCACACCCACTTACAACATCCTTGACAGAATCACACACCCTTTAAATGGAATCAGCAGGAGCCGAAGCAGCGCAGGCGACGCTGGAGGACAGAGTCCGCCAGCAAAATGACCAGATCCTGCGGATGGGGTCCGCACTGCAGGAGGTGATCACCACCATCAGAGGCTGGGAGACCCGAGGGACACCTCCACTACCATCGTCCCTGCCCGCGCCATCGGCAAGTCAGCCTCTTCCCGCTCCGGAACCCAGAGGAGTTCGACTCTCGCTCCCGAGGGCCTACGATGGGACCGCTGCCGGGTGTCAGGGATTCCTTCTCCAGGTGGAGCTTTACCTGGCCACCGTGCACCCGGCGCCCTCGGGGCACGAGAGCGTGTCCGCCCTGATCTCCTGCCTTTCCGGTAAAGCGTTGGAATGGGCCAACGCAGAGTGGAGGAGAATAGACGCTAACACCATCACCTACGACGAGTTCTCCCGCCGCTTCAGGGCGGTGTTTGACCATCCCCCGGAGGGGAAAGCGGCGGGGGGAGCGTCTGTTCGTCCTCCGGCAGGGGAGGAGGAGTGCCCAGGAGTTCGCCTTAGAATTCCGCACTCTAGCGGCGGATGCAGGGTGGAATGAGCGGGCCCTCATCGATCACTATCGATGTAGTCTACGTGAGGACGTCCGTAGGGAGCTGGCCTGTAGGGACACCAGTCTCTCGTTCGACCAGTTGGTCGACATGTCCATCAGGCTGGATACCCTGCTAGCTACCCGCGGACGTCCCGAGGGGGGTCCGTCCATTTCACCCTCCAGCGCTTCCGAGCCGTGCCCCATGGAGCTCGGTGGCGCTGGCGCTAGAGAGAGGAGGGGTCGGAATACGAGGGGGTCCATCTCCTGCACCAACTGTGGTTGGGAGGACACACCGCGGCTAGGTGCTGGGGATGGCCTCCTAGGGGGGAAGACGACAGGTCCCGCACTGGGGAGTCCTTCCAGGTGAGTAGGCGCCCCACTCACCCAGAGCTCTCTGTTGCACACTTTTGTATACCTGTGCGTTTTCCACAGTTAGCACCTCATTCCCAGCATAAGGCGCTGGAAGATTCAGGCGCGGCTGGGAATTTTGTTGATAAGCAATTTTGTTTAGCCTTAGGGATTCCCCTTCTACCTGTTGACGTTCCTTTCCCCGTTCATGCCCTAGATAGCCGTCCGTTGGGTGCGGGCTTGATCAGGGAGGTTACAGCGCCACTTAGGATGTGTGCGCAGGGGGGTCATCAGGAGATGATCCAGCTATTTCTGATCGACTCGCCTGCGTATCCGGTGGTGCTGGGCATGCCCTGGTTGAGTACCCATAACCCATCTATTTCGTGGCAGGAGAGGGCTCTGATGGAGTGGTCTGCCCAGTGTGTGGGTCGATGTTTAGGCGTTTCCGTAGGGGCTACCTCGGTGGAGAGTCCAAACCAGGTGCCCGCATTGCACGTTCCCCCTGAGTATGGGGATTTGGCTATTGCGTTTAGTAAGTCGAGGGCGACGCAGTTGCCGCCCCATAGGCAGGGAGATTGTGCGATAGACCTCCAGGCAGGAGCTGCGCTCCCACGGAGCCATGTGTATCCTCTGTCTCAGGAGGAGAAGAAAGCTATGGAGACTTACATAGACGAATCTCTGAGACAAGGATACATACGGCCTTCCACTTCCCCTGCGTCCTTGAGTTTCTTTTTTGTGAAGAAAAAGGATGGTGGGTTACGCCCGTGCATCGATTACCGTGGTCTCAATCAGATCACGGTGAAGTACAGTTATCCACTCCCGCTGATTGCGACTATGACTGAGTCATTGCATGGGGCGCGTTTCTTCACTAAATTAGATCTCAGGAGCGCGTACAACTTGGTGCGCATCAGGGAGGGCGATGAATGGAAGACAGCCTTTAGTACCACCTCGGGCCATTACGAGTATCGTGTCATGCCATACGGGTTGATGAACGCTCCGTCAGTTTTCCAATCATTCGTGGATGAGATCTTCAGGGACATGCAGGGGCAGGGGGTGGTTGTGTACATAGATTACATTCTCGTGTACTCGCCTACCCGAGTCGAGCATGTGGCCCTGGTGCGCAGAGTGTTGCGGAGGCTGGTGGAGCACGACCTGTATGTCAAGGCAGAGAAGTGTCTGTTTTTCCAGGAGTCGGTCTCCTTTTTGGGGTATCAGTTGTCTGCGTCAGGGGTGAAGATGGAGGTAGACCGGGTGTCAGCCGTGCGTAATTGGCAAACACCAACCACTGTGAAGGAGGTGCAGCAGTTTTTGGGGTTTGCGAATTACTACCGGAGGTTTATCCGGGGTTTTGGACAGGTGGCAGCTCCCATCACGTCTCTTTTGAAGGGGGGTCCGGTGCGTCTGCAGTGGTCTGCCGAGGCGGACAGGGCGTTTGGGAGGCTGAAGGACCTGTTTACCTCGGCCCCGGTGCTGGCGCATCCGGATCCCTCTTTGCCATTTCAGGTAGAGGTGGACGCGTCAGAGGCCGGTATAGGAGCCGTGCTTTCGCAACGGTCCGGCGCGCCACCTAAACTCCGCCCCTGTGCCTTTTATTCCAAGAAGCTCAGTCCGGCGGAGCGAAACTATGACGTAGGGGACAGGGAGCTGTTAGCCGTGGTACAGGCCCTAAAGGTGTGGAGGCACTGGCTTGAGGGGGCTCAACACCCTTTCCTCATTTTGACGGACCACCGTAACCTGGAGTACATCCAGGCAGCGAGGAGGCTGAACCCTCGCCAGGCGAGGTGGAATATGTTTTTGACCCGGTTCACATTCAAGATCACGTACATCCCTGGGTCACAGAATGGTAAGGCAGACGCACTGTCTCGGCGGTATGACACGGAGGAGAGGTCCGTGGAGCCCACTCCCATACTGCCGGAGTCGTGTCTGGTGGCACCGGTAGTGTGGGAGGTCGATGCTGAACTCGAGCGAGCGTTACGCACCGACCCTAGTCCACCTCAATGCCCGGAGGGTCGGAAGTACGTTCCGCTCGAGGTTCGGGATCGATTGATATATTGGGCTCACATGTCACCCTCCTCTGGACACCCTGGTATCGGCCGGACAGTGCACTGTCTTAGTGCCAAGTACTGGTGGCCCACGTTGGCGAGGGATGTGAGGGTTTATGTTTCCTCCTGCTCGGTGTGCGCCCAGTGTAAGGCGCCTAGACATCTGCCTAGGGGTAAGTTACTACCCCTGCCCGTTCCACAACGACCATGGTCTCACCTCTCGGTGGATTTCCTAACTGACCTTCCTCCTTCACAGGGGAATACCACTATACTGGTCGTTGTGGACCGGTTTTCTAAGGCCTGTCGTTTGCTCCCCATGCCGGGCCTTCCTACTGCCCTGCAAACCGCCGAAGCACTATTCACCCATGTGTTCCGGCACTACGGGGTACCCGAGGATATTGTGTCTGATCGAGGTCCCCAATTTACCTCCAGAGTCTGGAGAGCTTTTATGGAGCGTTTGGGGGTCTCGGTGAGCCTCACCTCGGGTTACCACCCGGAGAGTAATGGGCAGGTGGAACGTGTGAACCAGGATGTGGGTAAGTTTCTTAGAACATACTGCCAGGACCGGCCAGAGGAGTGGGCAAGGTACGTTCCCTGGGCCGAAATGGCCCAGAATTCCCTACGCCATTCCTCCACTAACCTAACCCCTTTCCAATGTGTGTTAGGTTACCAGCCGGTTCTGGCACCTTGGCAGCAGAGCCAGATCGAGGCTCCTGCGGTGGATGAGTGGGTGCGGCGCTCGGAGGAGACATGGAACGCTGCACACGTCCACCTGCAGTGGGCCCTCCGGCGTCATAAGGCGAGCGCCGATCTCCACCGCAGTGAGGGACCGGTGTACGCACCTGGTGATCGAGTCTGGCTCTCTACCAGAAACCTGCCCCTCCGCCTGCCCTGTCGGAAACTGGGTCGGCGGTTTGTAGGGCCATTTAAAGTCCTGAGAAGGTTGAACGAGGTGTGTTACAAATTACAACTACCTGTTGAATATAAAAGTATTAACCCCTCGTTCCATGTGTCTCTTCTCAGGCCGGTGGTAGCTGGCCCACTCCAAGAAAGTGAGATCAGGGAGACTCCTCCGCCCCCATTGGACATCGAGGGGGCACCGGCGTACTCCGTGCGGTCCATCTTGGATTCGAGACGTCGGATGGGGGGTCTCCAATATCTAGTGGAGTGGGAGGGGTACGGCCCGGAGGAGCGGTGCTGGGTGCCAAGGAGGGAAATTTTGGACCCGTCTCTCCTGACGGAATTCCATCGTGGGCACCCGACGCATCCTGCTCCGCGTCCTCCTGGTCGTCCCCGAGGCCGGAGTCGGCGCACGTCTGGAGCCGCGCGTCAAGGGGGGGGTACTGTCACGGTTTCGGCCGAGGCTGCCTCTCTTCCTTGCTCGGGCAGGCTTCGGCGTTCGTTGTCTCCGGAATACTAGCTGCCACCGTTGCATGTTTCTATGTTCGTTTGCTTTTGTCTAATTGTTGTCACACATGTTTTCGTTTAGTGTATTAGTGTCCTTTAAAGTTCTCCTTGGGTTTGTGTTAGTGTTGTGTGTGATTGTTTTCACTGTCGTGCTTTGTTGCTGGATGTATTGACTATTTGCTCGGTAGAGCTGTCCTCCATTGTTTGGAGAGTTTTGTCGCACCTGTTTGTGCGCCCGTTTTGTTTCGCCTGCGCGCGGAGTTTCGTCTTCGGGCTATTTAGTGCTTGCACGGTTAGAGATATCACTAAAGTCTTTGGAACTATACTTCTGCGTCCTGCGCCTGATTCCACCACCACACCCACTTACAACATCCTTGACAGAGGGAAATAAGTATTTGACCCCTCTGCAAAACATGACTTAGTACTTGGTGGCAAAACCCTTGTTGGCAATCACAGAGGTCAGACGTTTCTTGTAGTTGGCCACCAGGTTTGCACACATCTCAGGAGGGATTTTGTCCCACTCCTCTTTGCAGATCTACTCCAAGTCATTAAAGTTTTGAGCCTGACATTTGGCAACTCAAACCTTCAGCTCCCTCCACAGATTTTCTATGGGATTAAGGTCTGGAGACTGGCTAGGCCACTCCAGGACCTTAATGTGCTCCTTCTTGAGCCACTCCTTTGTTGCCTTGGCCGTGTGTTTTGGGTCATTGTCATGCTGGAATACCTATCCACGACCCATTTTCAATGCCTTGGCTGAGGGAAGGAGGTTCTCACCCAAGATTTGACGGTACATGGCCCCGTCCATCGTCCCTTTGATGCGGTGAAGTTGTCCTGTCCCCTTAGCAGAAAAACACCCCCATAGCATAATGTTTCCACCTCCATGTTTGACGGTGGGGATGGTGTTCTTGGGGTCATAGGCAGCATTCCTCCTTCTCCAAACACGGCGAGTTGAGTTGATGCCAAAGAACTCAATTTTGGTCTCATCTGACCACAAAACTTTCACCCAGTTCTCCTCTGAATCATTCAGATGTTCATTGGCAAATTTCAGACGGGCCTGTATATGTGCTTTCTTGAGCAGGGGGACCTTGCGGGCGCTGCAGGATTTCAGTCCTTCACAGCGTAGTGTGGAGGTGTGTTCGGTCATTGTCCTGTTGAAAAACAAATGTGCAAACCAGATGGGATGGCGTATCGCTGCAGAATGCTGTGGTAGCCATGCTGGTTAAGTGTGCCTTGAATTCTAAATAAATCACAGACCCTGTCACCAGCAAAGCTCCCCCAAACCATAACACCTCCTCCTCCATGCTTTACGGTGGGAACTACACATGCGGAGATCCGTTCACCCACACCGCGTCTCACAAAGAGACGGCGGTTGGAACCATAAATCTCAAATTTGGACACCAGACCAAAGGACATATTTCCACCGGTCTAATGTCCATTGCTCGTGTTTCTTGGCCCAAGCAAGTCTCTTCTTATTGGTGTTCTTTAGTAGTGGTTTCTTTGCAGCAATCGACCATGAAGGCCTGATTCATGCAGTCTCCTCTGAACAGTTGATGTTGAGATGTGTCTGTTACTTGAACTTTATTTCAAGTAACAGACAGTAAAACAGCACATTTATTTGGGCTGCAATTTCTGAGGCTGGTAACTCTAATGAACTTATCCTCTGCAGCAGAGGTAACTCTGGGTCTTCCATTCCTGTGGCGGTCCTCATGAGAGCCAGTTTCATCATATCGCTTGATGGTTTTTGCGACTGCACTTGAAGAAACTTTCAAAGTTCTTGACTGACCTTCCTGTCTTAAAGTAATGATGGACTGTCATTTATCTTTGCTTATTTGAGCTGTTCTTGCCATAATATGGACTTGGTCTTTTACCAAAAAGGGCTATCTTCTGTATACCCCACTACCTTGTCACAACACAACTGATTGGCTCAAACGCATTTAAGAAGGAAATAAATTCCACAAATTAACTTTTAAGAAGGCACACCTGTTAATTGAAATGCATTCCAGGTGACTACCTTATGAAGCTGGTTGAGAGAATGCCAAGAGTGTGCAAAGCTGTCATCAAGGCAAAGGGTGGCTATTTGAAGAATCTCAGATATAAAATATATTCTGATTTGTTTAACACCTTTTTGCTTACTACATGATTCCATATGTGTTATTTCATAGTTTTGATGTCTTCACTATTATTCTACAATGTAGAAAATAGTGAAAAATAAAGAAAAACCCTTGAATGAGTAGGTGTTCTAAAACTTTTGACCGGTACTGTATTTTCTCTAAATAAGCTTTGTTGTACAATTACATTTACGTCATTTAGCAGACGCTCTTATCCAGAGCGACTTACAGTTAGTGAGTGCATACATTTTTCATACTGGCCCCCCGTGGGAATCGAACCCACAACTGTGGCGTTGCAAGCGCCATGCTCTACCAACTGAGCTACAGGAGGCCTTTAAGGTGAAATACAGGGCTTGTGAAGTTATACCTAGGCTAAATACAGTATAAACCTTCCACCACCATACGAACCACTAGTAATTTAATTAATAGTTTTACCTAACCCTAACCCTAACCCTAATTAATAGTTTTACCTAATCCTAACCCTAACCCTAACCCTAATTAATAGTTTTACCTAACCCTAACCCTAACCTTTTTTTGCAATAATCACTCACCTGGCTTTCATGTCTGTCAATGAAAATTCCCTTTTTGTAACAAATTGAATCAGACCTATCCTCAACGCACATTCACTAATAATGACCAACATCTTGTAGCAGTCATTATAGAAAATTAACACAGGTCTCATAAACAAATCTCTCAAGCACAAGCCCACATGTTATATTTAAAGTCTGGCCAACATGGATGTATTTGCTTGCTAACAAGTTAGAACAGTTAAATTGTTCCAACCACACCATTCTGTCTGTCTCCAACTGTTTGAACAGCATGTTAGCCTGTCCACTTTGTTCAGATGTTGAAATCAAGTGGCCTACCTTATTTCTCAGAATGAGAACGAGTTGCCAATTCCTTATATAATTGTTTTATGCTTATTGCACATTTATAAACAGACTAGACAGCTAGTATGACAGTCTTTGGCTAAAATGCTGCGTGGTACCACAATGCCGCGCGCGACAAACTGAGCATTAATTTTCCAGAATCAACGTTCATTGATACTCTGGTTTTAGTAGTGTCTGCTCTGGACGCAATTTGAGGAGTTGAGACATAAAAAGGGTATCGTTAGAAAGGTTAACTTCTCCTCTATTACAGTAAAATAATGTCTCTGTGTTTCGGTGTCCATAGGACCGATTCTGTTGGACCAAACCTCAAATGCAAATAACGAGTTGAAACCGCTTGTCAGAGAGGAAGATGTGCTCTCATCTTTGTTGTTGACTGGCAGGGGGAGGGGCTTTGTGTGAGGTGGAGGGGCTTGGGGTGTGTGGGGGAGGGGCTTGTTGTGTGGGGGAGGGGCTTGGTGTGTGGGGGAGGGGCTTGGTGTGTGGGGGAGGGGCTTGGTGTTTTGGGGAGGGGCTTGGTGTGTGTGTAAATGAGAAAGTGGCCCTCCTGTAGCCCAGTTGGTAGAGCATGGCGCTTGCAACGCCAGGGTTGTGGGTTTGATTCCCACGGGGGGCCAGTATGAAAAATGTATGCACTCACTAACTGTAAGTCGCTCTGGATAAGAGCGTCTGCTAAAATGACCAACAACGAAAAAAAGTGCAGAGTCATAGTAGAAGGAGTGAAGGAGACAGACCAAAGACAACATGAGAACAAGAGAACATAAACGCTCATAAGAATAAAAACTCCATTCTTGCGATACAGGCATTTGGAATATCGTTCTAAAACATACATTTGAATGGGCTAGGATTATGGCAGATGGGTTAGGGTTAGGGTTAGGGTTAGGAATGAATGAAATGTATTGGATATGCGTGTATGGGCTAGGATTATGGCAGATGATGTTGTAACGCGTCCTCTCTCCTCTCCCTTAGTTGTCTGACTCATATGGACATGGGTATGAGGTGTGGCTAGGGTCCAAGGGTCTGTCTCTCTCCCCGTTCCACATCCGCTGGCAGACCTCCCTCTTCAACCGTCTCTTCTCACGCTGCGCTCGCATCAACCCCCACGCCCTCTACCTCTGGTAAGACCTGACCTCTAACCCTCATTCCCTCTACCTCTGGTAAGACCTGACCTCTACCTCTGGTAAGACCTGACCTCTACCTCTGGTAAGACCTGACCTCTACCTCTGGTAAGACCTGACCTCTACCTCTGGTAAGACCTGACCTCTACCTCTGGTAAGACCTGACCTCTACCTCTGGTAAGACCTGACCTCTACCTCTGGTAAGACCTGACCTCTAACCCTCATTCCCTCTACCTCTGGTAAGACCTGACCTCTAACCCTCATTCCCTCTACCTCTGGTAAGACCTGACCTCTAACCCTCATTCCCTCTACCTCTGGTAAGACCTGACCTCTGCCTCTGGTAAGACCTGACCTCTACCTCTGGTAAGACCTGACCTCTACCTCTGGTAAGACCTGACCTCTACCTCTGGTAAGACCTGACCTCGAACCCTCATTCCCTCTACCTCTGGTAAGACCTGACCTCTAACCCCTAACCCTCTACCTCTGGTAAGACCTGACCTCTAACCCTCATTCCCTCTACCTCTGGTAAGACCTGACCTCTACCTCTGGTAAGACCTGACCTCTAACCCTCATTCCCTCTACCTCTGGTAAGACCTGACCTCTACCTCTGGTAAGACCTGACCTCTAACCCTCATTCCCTCTACCTCTGGTAAGACCTGACCTCTAACCCCTGACCCTCTACCTCTGGTAAGACCTGACCTCTAACCCTCATTCCCTCTACCTCTGGTAAGACCTGACCTCTAACCCCTGACCTCTACCTCTGGTAAGACCTGACCCCTAGACCCATAAACCCTAACCCTGTGTGTGTGTGTGTGTGTGTGTAGGTTCACCAGTGGTGTAGTGTTTGGGTTGGTGTCTATGTGTGGTTCGGTGGTGCTCCTCTGCCTTAACCCTGTGTGTGTGTGTGTGTGTGTGTGTGTAGGTTCACCAGTGGTGTAGTGTTTGGGTTGGTGTCTATGTGTGGTTCGGTGCTGCTGCTGATTAGAACACTGCAGCAGACTGTCCATCAGATGACATCAGACCACCCTCAGGGAGCCAATCAACAGACACTACAGGTGGTGGTACGTACAGAGAACATCTGTCTGTCTGTCTGTCTCTCTCTCTGTCTCTGTCTCTGTCTCTGTGTGTGTGTGTACTCACTGCGGTGTGTGTGTGCAGGTCCCAGGTGTAAACCTGCCAGTCAGTCAGCTGGCCTACTTCTTCTCTGCTCTGCTGGTCAGTGGGGTCATACACGAACTGGGCCATGCCGTGGCAGCAATAAGGTAAGATACACATACATACACTAACTGGGCCATGCTGTGACTGAACTGAGACACTAACTGGACCACGCTGTGACTGAACTGAGACACTAACTGGACCATGCTGTGACTGAACTGCGCTGAGACACTAACTGGGCCATGCTGTGACTGAACTGCGCTGAGACACTAACTGGGCCATGCTGTGACTGAACTGAGACACTAACTGGGCCATGCTGTGACTGAACTGAGACACTAACTGGACCACGCTGTGACTGAACTGAGACACTAACTGGACCATGCTGTGACTGAACTGCGCTGAGACACTAACTGGGCCATGCTGTGACTGAACTGCGCTGAGACACTAACTGGGCCATGCTGTGACTGAACTGAGACACTAACTGGGCCATGCTTTGGCTGAACTGAATAGCGACACTAACTGGGCCATGCTGTGACTGAACTGAGACACTAACTGGGCCATGATGTGACTGAACTGAGACACTAACTGGGCCATGCTGTGACTGAACTGAGACACTAACTGGGCCATGCTGTGACAGAACTGAGATACTAACTGAGCAATGCTGTGACTTAACTGAGACAATAACTGTGCCATGCTGTGACTGCACTGAGATACTAACTGGGCCATGCTGTGGCTGAACTGAGACCTAAACTTGGCCATGCTGTGAACGACTGAACTGAGACACGACAACTAACTGGACCAGCTGTGGACTGACTGATACAAGCACACAACTGACCATGCTGTGATGAACTGAGACACCTAATTGGGCCATGCTGTGACTGAACTGAGACACTAATTGGGCCATGCTGTGATGACTGAAGACACTAACGGCCATGCTGTTTGACTGAACTGATACACAACTGGGCCATGCTGTGACGAACTGAAAGACACTAACTGGGCCCATGCTGTTTTGACTGACTGAGACACTAACTGTTGGCCATGCTTGTGACCGAACTGAGACAACTAACTGGGCCATGCTTGTTGGCTGAACTGAGACACTAACTGGGCCTCGTGCTGAAACTGAGACACTAACTGGACCTTGCTGTGACTGAACTGAGACACTAACTGGGCCATGCTGTGACTGAACTGAGACCACTAACTGGGCCCATGCTGTGACTGGAACTGAGACCCACTAACTGGGCATGCTTGTGCTGAACGAGACACCAACTGGGCGATGCTGTGACTGAACTGTACACTAAACTGACCATGCTGTGACTGAACAGACAACTAAAATTGGCATGCTGTTGGCTGAACTGAACTGAGACACTAACTGGGCATACTGTACTGAACTGAGACCTAACTGGCATGGCTGTGACTGAACTGAGACACTAACTGGGCCATGCCTGTGACTGAACTGAGCAGAGACAATAACTGGACCATGCTGTGACTGAACTGAGACACTACTGGGCCATGCTGTGACTGAACTGAGACAGAGACACTAATTGGGCCATGCTGTGGCTGAACTGAGACAGAGACCCTAACTGGGCCATGCTGTGGCTGAAATGAACTGAGTCACTAACTGGGCCATGCTGTGACTGAACTTAACTGAGACACTAACAGGGCCATGCTTTGGCTGAACTGAATAGCGACACTAACTGGGCCATTCTGTGGCTGAACTGAGACACTAACTGGACCAGCTGTGGCTGAACTGAGACACTAACTGGGCCATGCTGTGACTGAACTGAGATACTAACTGGGCCATGCTGTGACTGAACTGAGACAGAGACACTAACTGGGCCATGCTGTGGCTGAACTGAGACACTAACTGGACCATGCTGTGACTGAACTGAGACACTAACTGGGCCATGCTTTGGCTGAACTGAATAGCGACACTAACTGGGCCATTCTATGGCTGAACTGAGACACTAACTGGGCCATGCTGTGGCTGAACTGAGACACTAACTCGGCCATGCTGTGACTGAACTGAGACACTAACTGGGCCATGCTGTGACTGAACTGAGACACTAACTGGGCCATGCTGTGACTGAACTGAGACAGAGACAATAACTGGACCATGCTGTGACTGAACTGAGACACTAACTGGGCCATGCTGTGACTGAACTGAGACAGAGACACTAATTGGGCCATGCTGTGGCTGAACTGAGACAGAGACACTAACTGGGCCATGCTGTGGCTGAAATGAACTGAGTCACTAACTGGGCCATGCTGTGACTGAACTTAACTGAGACACTAACTGGACCATGCTGTGGCTGAACTGAGACACTAACTGGGCCATGCTGTGACTGAACTGAGACACTAACAGGGCCATGCTTTGGCTGAACTGAATAGCGACACTAACTGGGCCATTCTGTGGCTGAACTGAGACACTAACTGGACCATGCTGTGGCTGAACTGAGACACTAACTGGGCCATGCTGTGACTGAACTGAGACACTAACTGGGCAATGCTGTGACTGAACTGAGATACTAACTGGGCCTGCTGTGACTGAACTGAGACAGAGAACACTAACTGGGCCATGCTGTGGCCTGAACTGAGACACTAACTGGACCATCTGTGCTGAACTGAGACACTAACTGGGCCATGCTTTGGGCTGAACTGAATAGGCGACACTAACTGGGGCCATTCTATGGCTGAACTGAGACCACTAACTGGGCCATGCTGTGGCCTGAACGGAGACACTAAAACTCGTCCATGCTTGTGACTGAAATGGACACTAACTGGGGCCATTGCCTGTGGACCTGAAACTGAAGACACTAACTGTGCCATGCTGTTGCTTAACTGAGACAGAGACACTAACTCTCGGGCCATGCTTGTGACTGAACTGGACAGAGATCATAACTGGACCAATGCTTGTGACTGAACTGAGACACTAAACGGGCCCTGCTGTGACTGAAACTGAGACAGAGACACTAATTGGGCCATGCTGTTGGCTGAACTGAGACAGAGACACGAACTGGGCCCTTCCGGTGTCTGAATGAACTGAGTCACTAACTGGGCCAATGCTGTGACTGAACTTAACTGAGACACTAACCTGGCCATGCTTGGCTTAACTGAATAAGCGACACTACTGGGCCATTCTGTGGCTGAACTGAGACACAACTGACCAAGCTGTGGCTGAACGGAGACACTAACTGGGCCCCCCCAATGCTGTGGGACTGAACTGAGACAGAGACACTAACTGGGCCAATGCTTGGGCTGAACTGAGACACTACTGACTGGACCAATGCTGTACTGAACTGAGATCCTAACTTGTCATGCTTTGGCTGAACTGAATAGCGACACTAACTGGTCCATTCTATGGTGAACTGAACACTAACTGGGGCCATGCTGTGGCCTGAAACTGAGAACACTAAACTCGGCATGCTGTGACTGAACTAGAACTAACTGGTCCATGCTGTGACTGAACTGAGACACTACTGGGTCCATGCTGTGCTGAACACTGAGACAGAGACATAACTGGACCGTGGCCTGTGACTGAACTGAGACACTAACTGGGCCATGCTGTTGAACTGAACTGAGACAGAGACACTAATTGGCCATGCTGTGGCTAACTGAGACAGAGGACACTACCTGGGCCATGCCGGTGGCTGAAATGAACTGAGTCCCCACTAACTTGGCCATGCTGTACTGGAACTTAACTTGAGACCCTAACTGACCATGCTTGTGGCTGAACTGAGACACTACTGGGCCATGGCTGTGACTGAACTGAGACACTAACAGGCCATGGCTTTGCTGAACTGAATATCGACACTACTGGCCATTCTGTGGTGACTGAGACATATAACTGACCATGCTGTGGCCTGAAACTGAGACACTAACTGGGGCCATGCTGTGACTGAACTGAGACCACTAACTGGGCCAGCCTGTGACTGGAACTGAGATACTAACTGGGCCATGCTTGGAACTGAAGCTGAGACAGAGACACTAACTGGGCCATGCTGTGGCTGAACTGAGACACTAACTGGACCATGCTGTGGACTGAACCTGAGAACACTAACTGGGGCCTGCTTTGGCTGAACTGATAGCGACACTAACTGGCCATTCTATGGCTGAACTGAGAACACTAACTGGGCCATGCTGGGGGCTGAAATTAGACACTACTCGGCCAATTCTGTGACTGACTGTATACACTAACCTGGGCCATGCTGTGACTAACTGAGACACTAACGGCATGCCTGTGGCTGAACTGAGACAAGAGACACTAACTCGGCCATGCTGTTACTGAACTGAGACCACTAACTGGGCCCATGCCTTTTGCTGAAACTAATATCACACTAACTTGGTCCCCATTCCTGTGGCGGAACGAGACACTCACTTGCCCAGGCTGTGCTGAACTGAGGACCTAACTGGGCCATGCTGTGACTGACCTGAAGACACTAACTGGGCCATGCTGTACTGAACTGAGACATAGACACTATCTGGGCCATGCTGTGACTGGGAACTGAGAACACTAATTGGGCCATGCTGTGACTGAGAGACCACAACTTGGCCATGCTGTGGCTTAACTAGACAGAGACCACAACTGGGCCATGCTGTGACTGACCTGAACCCACTAACTGGGCCATGCTGTGGCTGGAACTGAGACACTAACTGGGCCATGCTGTGACGAACTGAGAACACTAACTGGGCAACTGCTGTGACTGAACTAATACTAACGGGCCATGCTGTGGACCTGCACTGAGACAGAGAACCCTAACTGGGCCCATGCTGTGGCTGAACGAGACACTAACTGGGCCTGCTGTGACTGAACTTAAGTACACTAACTTGGCCATGCTTTTGGCTGAACTATAGCGCACTAACTGGGCCATTCTAATGGCTAACTAACTGAGACCTAACTGGGCCCTATGCCTGTGGCTGAAACTGAGACAACTACTGGGCCATTCTGTGACTGAACGGAGACACTAACTGGGCCATATGCTGTTTACTGAAACGATACACTAACTGGGGCCATGCTGTGACTGAACGAACTGAGACAGGACAACTAACTCGTCCATTCTGACTGAACTGAGACATACTGGGCCATGCTTGGCTGAACTGCATAGCGACACTAA